TTGACTCATTGTCAGTTGAATTAACTTCGTTTTTGTCCACACAAATAATTATGTACTTTCTCAAGAAGTAATTTTTAATAAAACTTCCTTTCCAGTAGTAAATGTAAAAAAAAAGTAGCTGAGAATAAAACTAAGCAGTTTCAGTTATGATAAGTAGATTATAAATAAGGAATGATACTTTCAGTTCCTATCATGTATATAACAATGTTTCAATTTCACTTAATTCTACTGATTGGATTAATTCCTTGCGCTGGTTGGTAATAAAATTATGCTACATGTAATTCCAGCAAAGTGCACAGGGAGAAAAGAGAGAAAGGAAAAAAGACAAGCCGCCTTTCAATCCGGCTCCGTGTACTAACACCTTTTTCTCAAAGCCCTTGAAAATCCCGCTTCATCGCGGCGCGGAGAAAAGAAAAAAGAGGAGAGTAGAAAAGGAGAGAGGACGAAGAAATAGCCGATGGAATGAAGGTTGTTCGAGCGGTTTCAGGACGCGATTCTCTGCGAAAGATCGTTACGATATCGCTGGCAGAGGTGCTCCCCGTTTCGCCGGTAGCGTAGACGAAGGTAGCAGAGGTGTTCGTTTAGCGCCGGCGCTAAACTCCTCTTAGTCGGCTTTGGACCTGAACGTTTGCATTTCGCGCTGTCACGCTGGTTAGACAAAGACCGGCGACCAGCGGGGAGGGGTAATCCGGAAAAAAAGACGGAGAAATGTACGTAAGTAGGGAAAGCAGAAGTGAGAGGCTCGAAAGAGGGAAGAGTTTAAGAAAATGAAGGTTGATGGAGGGTGGGAGAGAGAGGAGAAAGAAATACCGAGGGGGTGAAAGGAAGATATTGTGACGCGTATATACAGAGAAAGGAGCGGAGTGGAAGGGGTTGCGAGCGTGGGTGCGACGGAGGCAGAGATATAGAGGGTGATATAGCGAGAGGGGGTGAGGAACGGAGGCAGAGGAATAGAGAGCAGCCCGAGGCCATCGCTAACGACGCCATTGTCAACGGCCTGGCCATTGTGCGAAGCGTCCTGTACGAAACGCCGATTCCTAGCTACGATCGCGGTGCCTCCGTACACATACATACATACATATATTACAGCGGGGCCGAATAAAACAAATCATTTGGCGATGACGATGCGACGGAATCAATACGCGGTAAAATCCGCGGGAAAATGAGGTTCGGTGGTATAAGAGATCGTTAAGTGGAGTAGAAAGGGTGACGAATCAGCCATCCGAGTTAGTTAATGATCGACAAATCTTGCCTCGATGATTTGATCTACTATACGCGGCGTTACGTTTCGGCAGAAATCGAAAATTTTCGTAATGGAAGAATGAACAGAAAAATCAAAACTGATTACGCACGACATTGCAAATCATGGTTTTAATAGAATCGCGTATGTGAAAGCGGAACGGTGTGAATCGTGGGAAACGACAAAACTGACGGGGAAATTCCAATGAAAAAGTTAACATACCGTGGCTTTACATTTATGTATTAATCGAGCGGTTATTAATTCAACATACGCACGGTGTATAAACTTAATTCATTCCAGTCTCTGCATTATACATTTAACGCTTGAACAGGAACGAGTCGTTCCGGAGCGGTACCGTTAAATAAACTTTCAACTTTACTTCAACTGCAATCGATCCGGTCCCATGCCACAGATTTGTCTCCGTTCGTGGAGAACAATTTCAAGAAAGGAGTTCAAGGAATCCTTGTAAGAATTCGACTGGTCTTTCGAATACAGACCGCCGGACCGATCAGACTCGGTCAAACTTTGCAGCCGGTCGATATAGGTGTTTCCCGGACAAAAAAAGAGATTAATGGACCGCGGAACAAACTATTGGAAAGTGTAGCTCCACACGTGTCAAATAAAGAGACAAATCTTCTACGGTATCTATTTTTCTTTCGTTGCCCCAAGTTCCAATTGATTTTATTTATTGGTTTCGCAATTATACGGATAGAGGTAAAGTAATTTGAAATAAAAAATAATAATCCGATTGAAAAATCGTCGAACAATCATGTCTGATATATCCTAGAGCAACTGAATAGCGAATTGGCTTTTGTCTTCACTAAAAAAATTTTTTGGATCCGCGCGTAGGGATGCAGGAAGGAACGTTCCTTGAGATCGCGTCGGTTTTATTGTGAATGCGACTGAATATCCGTGACGCGAGACGCGAGGCAAAGGGAAACGCGACGTGAAAGGTACCAGATGACAAGTTCTCATTCTGTTTCTCTTTCACAATACGGATTGAATCGATGCGGCTTGGATACAACCTGCCTGCACGGTGTGAATATTTAATGAATGTAGCCGTTAATGAGGCACGGTCATATTAGTATTAATTAACGGTAGGACGCTCTTCACGTTTTCATCGTACGAGAGTAGAAAAAAAAAAGAATTCCGATGAAAAGAGTCTCCAAGATGAACAGGGACAGATCTTTCTGATCGTTGAATACTCACAATGTCCCGTTTCCTTATTAAATTTCTTGCATACAGGCGGGCAAATGTTTCTCATTGTTATTACCAAAGGATCTGGCTGTTGGCAAAAAATGGAGCCACGTTATGCAACGCCTCGGAAAAGGACAGGATCGATTTTTCATTACCGTCATCTAGGGGAGTTAATTACCGAGCGGGTGAAATACTAACAAGGCAACGCTTCCCCGGTGTCTACTTCCTACAGCTTGCTCCGCGCAAGTCTATTGAAATATCGGATCTCGTACAAGCAATGTAGCATGTATCTCGAAAAATTCGAACGCCGCCGCGTACGTTCTTGTTCGTAATATAAACTATTCGTTGTGAAAGACTAAGGCCCCTCTTTGATATTTAAGGCATTCGTGTCCCGAACTTCTGGACGGAGAGATTTAATGGGATTGAGAATGAAGATATCTTTGTAAGGCGTAAAAGGCTTTGAATGTGTTGATAGGTTAACAGGATTAAGTCGGGTTCAGCGTGACCCTACAAAGCGGATACCTCAGTTAAGCTGCCTCATACGCTGCTCGCGGCGGACGAGGCTTGAAAAATTTGCAAGCCAATGTCCGAAAGCGGCGAACGGAGAAAAATGAAAGGAAAAAGTTTGATATTTTCGCCGGTACAGAGATGGTATGTAAATCAGACTCGACGGCCGCGCGGCCAGATAAAAAACAAACTTTCTTAAGTAGATGCCGTGCGGCTTTGAGCGGGAATTAAATTGAAAAAAATACACGCGCTTTGTTTCCCGAGCGTGGTTGCGAAACTGTTGCAAACGATATATTGTTCGCGGAGCAAAGCGCTGCAAACACTTTATCCAACGCTTCGTTTAATTTAAAACCATGACAAAACCGTAAGGTGCATGACAAAACGTGTACGCATTCTGCGAACATAAAAAAATAGCTACATGAAAAAATATGTGCGGCACGTGTATGAAGTATATGAAAAACGACCGGTGTACATTTTAAACATTTTTATCCATTTGCACAAATATACGTTCCTTTCGAATTCAATCATGCGATACATCTATTTCTTAAACCAGATCCCGTTTCAGTTAACCCAGTTCAAATTGGACGTACATATTAACATTGGTAGCCATAGGAGTAGAAGCAATGGAGACAGAGAAGAAGCAAAAGTCTCTCGTTAAATGGATGTCGTGCTCGTACGCCACACAATTTCATTCAGCGAAAATATTCATTTACCCGACTTCCTGTCGCAGCTGGCAAATATAACCGCACGCGTGGAACTCGGCGCGCGTTAATCCTATTCTTCCTAGTCGGGTCTAGAGTGTATACGCACATCGGAGGTTATTTAACGTTCAGTTGTCGTATCTCATAAGGCAAGAAATCCCCTTTTGTCCGATTAAATTGAGCCAGACGCCGAGTTTCAAAGCGGGAACACGGACCTCGTCTTTACCGTTCGTCGCTGCTGAGTATATTGTTTGAGAATTAAAAACGATGAAGGAAAATAAAGTTTCTTGGGAACCATTAATCTTTGACCATTGCGACAGTGTAAGGTCAACGTGAAACAGATATGTGTATACATGCATTGGAATGTTCGCTTTAATAAACTGTGCGCCTAACGATGCGATAAAAACCAGCAAAAAGATGAAAAAGAAGCAAGTCGCGCAACATTTCGATAGTTCTCGACGAGGATGTTAATATTAACACGAGTCTTCCAATCTTAATCGAGATCCAAACACATTGAATCCTACCAGTGGTTTTAATGTTACTAAATTTAATGGCAAATACCAGCATGCTGTTGACTGTAATTGATGCTGTTTAATCCTATACCTACTATTTTTAATTACACACGTAAAAACGATTCCAATAATTGAAACATTCTTAGCTGAGTTCGATCGTTGTTAAAATTAACTGTGTCGCTTTCGTTAAAATTAACCGTGAACGCTAATGATTATTATAAAACTATCTGTCGAATCGTCTGGGTATAAAAATCTTCTCGAGACGAGCTTCGCGAAAAAAAAAAGAAAATTCAAACGAACTCCGCGTACATAGTTTCGCAATCATTAACACGCTCCCTCTTTTGATTCTCGACGAAGTTCTAATGACGTTAACTTCGCGATCAAACATCGCGACATGCTTTTGCATGTAATCAGGAATAATGCCTCGAAACTCTAGCTTGGAACGAACGAGTTCAACCGCAAAGAATGAACACAGGAAAACACACATGCATAGCATAAAGCCCGTACGTGAACTCGTCTGTAATCGAAGATGAAAGTGCCGGGGGGTTGTAATTTACGTCCACGTCACACCGACAGCGAGCCTCTACGCACGTCTTTTACAGCGGCAGCAGCCACGGTCCAGCTCAATCGATCAATCAATAACTCTCGATGGATTTTAATAATTCGGCACTCGAATTACAACTGATTCGCGAATAAAAACTGAGATTCACTATATGGAGAATTACTGTCTATACGTATTTGCAATCTGTCCCGATCCGCAAGTTAATCTCGACACCGTGTGGCTTCCGTTCGCGAAGAGCACATTTCAAGGTTACGTAAGCGAGAGCTCAATGATACACTTACCGTTTTTGTAGCAGCAGCAGCAGAAGAAGCAGCAACAGTAGCAGCAGCAGCAGCAGCAGCAGCAGCAGTAGCGGCAGCAGTAGTGAGTTCTGCGTCCGAAATGCGGTTGAAAACACCTTGAATCCTCGGCGTGGTTCCGTCTTCTGTGTCCTTCGGTTACCTCCTCCAGGGTGTCAGGAAAATTTGTCCAAGTGTAGAGAAGCTTCTTATTATCATGAAGACAAGCACGGGCGTCGTGAGTGTGTGTTGAAGACAAGTCCCGTGCTCCATGGGATTTTTAGTGAACGATCGTCGCAACGACGTGACCGATACGCTTCTCTTGGACGAACTGAGCTCTCCCCCCCTTGCGCCGGCCTTATATAGCACCCCCACCCCTCTAATCCTCCCCTGAATATCCCTTCCATCGGAGCAACCCCTGCACGAAGGACGGCGGTCTAGTGGGGATGGATCCTAGTGGTCCACGAAGGACTCTGTTACCCTTTCTCTCTCTGTCTCTTCCCTTCTGTCCCCCGATCATTCCTTCCTCTCTGTTCAATCCTCTCTAAAATTCTCCCTCTTCTACCCCTTTGCTTCTCTTTCTCTTCCACCATCCGAAACCACCTTTCGCTCTTTCCGATCCGAAGCTTCGTCTCGTTCTCTCTTCGGTCGCGGTTCTTCTTCCTCGCACACGGTGCATCTCTGTTTCTCGTCGTTCTCTCCCTCTGTCGCGCCGTGTCCCAAATGACAATGTGTAAACTTCGTGCTCAAAACCCCGTGGCTCACCAGCCTAAGCTTTTCTCTACCCGTGTCTCTCTGGCCGTCATCGTCGTCGTCGTCGTCGTCGTCGTCGTCGTCTGGGTGGATAGACGTTACGCGTCACGCCAGGAATGTCCCTCAGGGTCAGAGTGCTGACGAGAGAGCGAGAGCTACGGGAATTGAGGAACGAGCCCCGGCAAGAGGAGCGGTATCAGGACTGTACACTTGGATTATTCGCGATAAATATTTACGCGGTCGTATTCATTGAAAAGCGCAACGATCCTCGTCGTCCGCGCGAATCGAGCCACTCGTTTCCTCCCACGATGCTTAATCCTCGTGTGCACACGCAATGACGTTTCTTGCAGCAGTCGGGCTGAACGCCTGAAATCGCAAAGCAGAGAGACGGCTTGTTACAACAACGCACAGTGAATTCTTCGTCGTTTGTTTGTCGTGTGTACCGGACTATTGTTGATAACATTCAGGGAATCGTTCAGAGCGGTAGAAGTTTCTGTTTTTTTTTTCTGTTTTTCAAGCGTGCTTTTAACATTGTACGAACGATGAAAAGCGGCGACGTGGCAGTCGCGAGGCGAGTCGTTTCGTGATATCGGGAGTAGGGGAAAGGGATGCGATTAAACGCCGGAATAATAATATCGCTGTTAAGATTATGTACATACAGTCGTCTACAAGTTCCGTGACGGTACGAAAATATATGTATGTGTAAACAAGACTGGTATAAAAAAGCGGAGGAACACAAAGCGTATCGTAATAAAGTAAGAAGAACAATAGAAAAATAACGCGACTTGAGTTAGCTCCTCTTTTATTTTACTGTTGCATCCTTTCGTGTATTGCAGTTGCATAAAGTCCAATGTTCCTTGCAAACGAAGAAGCTCCTCGATTCCCTTAAATCAAGACGGGACCATCCTCGGGAGTGCGAGTCTCGGAATTGAAAAAGATGAACTAACCGGCCTAACGCATTCGTTTGCTAATCTTTTAAATCGTACTCGAATTCGAATCATAACTTCAAAAATCTCTGACTGATTCGGGGCGGATGGCAAAGCTACATGCGTGTACAGTTCTCACGGGACGAGTCGCGCGACTCATTTTCGTAGTTGTCGGTGTTTTTGCCGTTTAGACGCGGTTCATTTTCTCTCTTTCTCCCGCCGAGACATATGTGTGATCCATGTGCGGCGGGCCACACATCATACACTTGACGCGCATAAATATCATTATCTCCAACAGCCCGCGTAACTCGATTTGTAGGCGGATCGAATTCTCTCCCCTTACCCTGCTACTCGCGGTATCCCTCTTTCACCCCCTATCGGCGTCTTTCTTCTTCCCATTGCTGCCCGCGTCCACCTTGCCAATCATCCTTTTGTAGGCTGCGAGGACGCGTGACAGTTCGCACACGCCCATGATTCCTTTTTGATTTATGCCATGTGTGAATCTTGAAAGGGCGCCGAGCGATCGTAGTAAGCGCTTTCCGGTTATTGAAAATTACGGAGCGCAACGATCTCGGCAGGAGAATACGAAAAGAGTATTTTCGAGGTCAGTTCACGTGTTTGATTCATGGGACGAACGATCGGCATGATTATTTTACCGAAGGAGCTCGCTGTTCGAAGGGTTGACGCGGTCGACGAAAAACTCGGCGACCGTAACCCTCCGTAGCCTCAATTCGCGTCAGGTTGATCGCGATAATCTAATCAACGATCCAGAAATCGTGTCGAAGATATCGTGTCAGGGCCGAGAGCCACCTGGAGTGACCCACCTGACCCTCGATGCATACTGTGACGCGAAAAGGACGAGCGACGACGTCGAGTACAAGGTGAAACGCAGACAGCGAGCAACGGTCCAGCGTCGGGAGAGAGAACGGCGCGGTGAAGAGGAGCGAGAGGGGAGTGAGGAGAGGGCGAGAGAGAGACGACGAGAGGAACGGAGAATAGACAGGAGAGGGTCAAAATCCCCTGGTCGTCTCCCGCGCACCTTTGGAATTCCTTGCTGCGCCGACGATAGAGGTGCTCCGTCACCCCCTTCGTGGCTTTCAAACCCCACCAAACGGATGCCAACCGATCTGGAGGGGATTGTAGGGATGCTGTCGTCATGGATACCCGTTTACCGGTGGGGATGAAGCATAGAGGGCCGACGGTGGCATTGATCGCTGCGCCCGTGGACCATCACAGTGTTGCCACGGATGTAGAAGGGGTGAATACAAACCTCCCACTCTTAGTTACTCGCGCGGCCCTACCGCACACGCATTATGGACTTCGTATTCGTACGAAAGCATGCATCCAAGTATGGACTTACGTGCTTATGCGCGCCTGGCGTGAATGATTCGCGAGCGGGGGTCTCCGTACCACCGTTATATCAGCCAGTATGCAGACGTCGACGCCGCGACACTGGTTTCCTTCGTCGATCTTTCGTCACGGCCAAAGATTTCGGCCATCGAAGATCACGGAACGATCCGCGAGGGCTCGTCTGATTTCACGTACTTATTCATGATCACCTTTTGACAGCCTATCCGAGGTCCTCTTTTAGCTGCCACGGCGCGGTGGCTCATTGCATTGCCCGATACTCCACATACTCGTGATTGAGTTTAAAGTAGAACGCGTGGAGCGACTGTTTACCGCGCTCGAAATTTCATCAAATTATGTAACTTGCTGCAAAACTTTCGAACCGAATCAGCAACCGCTTCGCACACAAATTAAATATGTATTTCCCTTTACCTCATTTATTGCAACGAAGGCTAGTCGCAGTTAATGTCAATAATATGTAATCAATAAAATGTACATTCAAGGGAAATAAAGTATTAAAATTAAAGCAGATGTTATATTTGGCGGATGAAGCGATCGTACATTTCGTACCTTTAATTCTTATTGGTGGTAGCACGTAAGAGTTCAATGTAATAAAAAGTATTTCCGATAGAAAAAGATCACTGGAACGGAGATATGAATTGCGGATAAGTTGCAGTCGTTCATACGAGCGACGGAAGCTTTATCGCGATCACGGTTGACATTACACCCGGATAAGGGAGGTTTTTAACATTGTCATAACCCCATTAGGCGCAGCGCCACCCTCGTTTAGGAGGCATGGACAGCTACACCGTTCCACGGTTCGAGGATGATAAAGATACAAGGCAAAACGCCCGTGATCTGACATTTCTAAGTTTACGCTTTCACGGTTCCTCGTGTATGATACATTACGGTGAACTTGATTGATGCTACATTTCAAAAATGTTAAAGCGTCAGGTACGGAGTTAAAAAACTGTCAAGATTTTATCTCGTTAATGTACCGAACAGATGAAAGATAATTGCGAGTTCTTTCACTGTGGAAAAAAGAAGATTTACAACGACAGATCGATACGGACACGCTTTCAATATTGGCAAGCTGTACTATCCATCATTTCTTAATTACTTTTTCCAAGATTTTAAACTCGGCAAGTGTCTACGCACGTGACTCAACGAACATTCGTACATTGGCATAAGCATGTTTCATTTAATTTAACGCGTCCTCACAGAAAATAATCCCATCGGAATTTCCGCAGTCCGCTCGGATCCAAGTACTCCGAAAGTTCATCCGTTTATTGCGTAAAATGATTTTCAACCAGGTTGTAAACGAGCAGTTTTATTGTTTCAGGAGCGAATACTGTTTCAAACGATTATTACAGAAATTATTACTACTGCGTAATCATTTGTATTGACAGGAGACGTTACGAATCTATTCTTTTGCAATAAGGAGTTTCAAGGCTCGAAGAACGTTCAATGTAATCCAATATATTTTAACCGAGACGTTTTCTTAATCGAACCGCGATAATAACCATCAATTTTCAGAAAACTTTCAAAGGTAGAACACTTACATCCCGCGGTGTCGTTCCCTCTACGCTCGTACGAGAAATTCTCTTTACATTTCCAGCTGCTATTGCCGCTGACTCCCGTTACACGAAATACAACAATTGCTGACTGGAATCGGAACCTAACACGCAAAGTCCGCTTTGAGGTACAGTCCCTGGACACGCACAGACTGGCTAATCGTATCAATAATAAATTCCACGCATCGTTCAATCGATGCCTCGACAATTACCACCGGTCAGTCCACCAGCTCGCCAGTTTCCGATTAGATCGCGCCAACGCGAATATGTGCACTCGTGCAACGTATGTATGCACATCGTAGAAATACACGTAATGCTCGTTGACGACTTTGTGCAACGAGAAAGCGAGGCATCGGATTTTGCTTTCGCTAATTAAAAAATTCCAGGCGAAGTCAGATTTCCTCTCGCCGCCACAGCGAACGCCCCCGCGAATAAATTCAATACCACCACACCGGCAACTCAACCCCGTCAACCCTCCAGTTTCCGTAACGCGTATTTAATTCCCAGTATTAGCTGTATCGGAAACTCCTATCGTTGGATACTATTTCAACGTTGCGCCAAACAAGTGCGATTATTACTTTGAAAATCATGCCGAAAAATGATCGGGCCAGGATTCAGAATCGCGTCGAGAAAAATCGACTCGCGCGTGCCAAGATCAGTCTCTCGTCGGAAATATTTTTATTCCATCAGGCTGGGGTAAACGTATCGAAAAATAGA